TCTGCAGAAGTCTTTTTTCACTGCTGGCCGGATTTGTGTTTAACGCTTCCCTCAATTTATGTAAACTGGCATTGAATAAAATTATTATTATTATTATTATTGACCGGAGCAGTTCTTGAAAATATAGCTTACACTCTGTGGGATGTGATTGTTGTGATTCGGCGTCTTCGTCAATCTCATAGCCCTGGACTTGACGGTGTCCAAGTAAACATTCTAAAAGCGGATAAAAATGCAAGAATTCTTTGTGCCTGGTAGGTGCTAATAATTCGACCCAGTCTATTTCTGGGCGGTTAAGGTCGCCTGCAATTATCTTATATTCAGTTTTTATGTTAGCAATATTGCTTATTAAGAGGTTGAGGCTTGTGTCATCACTACTACATTCTGGAGGGGAGAAGAGGTTTGCGACTAGTATGTTTTCCTGGGCATATTATACGGCACTTAATAGAGAATAACCTACTGAGTGTTGCTCAGCATGGATTCCTCAAAGCTCGATCTTGCGACACCTGTCAACTCTCTTTCTTTAACTATGTTCTCCAATCTAGAGACCATGGTTTTGCACTTTTCACAGTATATTTCGATTTCACTAAGGCTTTTGACCGTGTTGACCATGCTCTTCTCCTCTTGAAATTGTCCTCTTTCGGAATAGGTGGCAAACTTTTGAATTTTATATCCTCTTATTTGGGCACTCGCACACAACGAGTTAAGATTTCCAATACCATCTCCAACCCCACACGTGTGAGGAGTGGAGTCATTCAGGGTAGTGTACTCGGCCCGCTTTTATTTTGCCTTTTCGTTAATGATGTACACGATTTATTTCAGAATGGTAAGCCTTTCATGTATGCCGATGATCTTAAAGTTGCATTTCGATATAGGCCGGCAGATCATGACATCGTGCTTGAGCTCCTAAAGAGCGATCTACAGGCTTTCGCCCAGTGGTGCCGCACATGGCGCCTTTCTCTTTCCTGGCATAAGTGCTCAGTCATGGTGGTTGGCGACGACCGTCAACCTCAACTAAGTATTGAAGGTCACGCAATAAATGTGCCAGCGGTTATAAAGGATTTGGGCGTATCATACTCCAAGAGTCTTAATCTCTCGGAGCAGTGTGCCTTGATAGTCTCCAAAGCACGTATAACGACCGGGTTTATCCTCCGAAATTTTAAAACTAGGGACATTAGAATGCGACTTTTCAACATGTACTTTAGACCTGGTCTGGAATACTGTTCGTTTTCATTTAGCCTCATGCGTGCTACTGAGCGGAAGAAAATAGAATCGGTTCAACACTTATTTACTAAGAGAATTTTAACCCCGGAACACCGACATTTGTCTTACCGAGAACGTTGCCGGCTTACAGGCCTCGATCCTTTATGGTTCCGTAGATTACAAAAGGGACTACTTTTGCTATTTAAACTCTTATATAATCACACATTTAACCCACTCACCTCTTTAAGACATCATATCCACCCACGACGTAACAGTCACCGTGAGGTCTTTTATTTCTGCCTCTGGCACGTACTGCTAAATATAGATAGATAGATAATTTTTATTAAAGACCCGTCGGGGTCCCATCACAGCAAGTTAAAATAATGTTACATGCGAGTTTTAGACGAGGTGGGCTGAATCTTTACAAAATGCAATTCATAGTTTCTGAATTAGAAGTCCATTGAGAAACATGATGATTGAGGGGTAAAAAAACTCCTCGGAAAAAGTTAAAAATGATTGGATTAATTATTTAGGAGAAAAAACCTCTCTTTAAAAATAGTAACAGAAAAAAGCGAGCAGGACTGGCCTGTAGGTGGCGATATATAACGGAATGTTTTCGGTCATCGTCAGGGTATCAATAAATGTCCGCCTTGATGGGTAAGAATGTGGGTCAGACAGGACTGGCTTGCAAATGGCATTGTATACGGGATTCACAACTCAGATCGTCTGGGCCGGATTGGTACGCCGCGTCAAAGAGGCCAGACGAGAGGAACCGAGATGCAATCGGCCACAGCACGCTTCGAGCTCAGCCGAGCAGTGAGGAAGGGAGGTACGACCGAACTACTAGTAGACAGTGAATACTGAGGGTTCCGCCGTGAGCGTCGACAGACCTCATGAGGTCGGAATGCGGGAGATGACATCAAAAACCGCGAAAATCGTCGCTATGGGGGGAAGGATAGCGATGGATATAGAAACCAATTAAAAACAGGGGTTTCTTATGATATAAATAAGATTTACCACTTAATCTACCACTAAATCCCAGGAGGACCCTTCTCGATGTCAAGTAGCTGAGTGTTCGGGAATGAGACCGTTAACAGTGCCTTTATGCTTTCCGGTGTGAGATGGTTGCGTAATTTCGACTTGAATACCAGTAACTTAGGCGATAATCTAATTTCAGGCGGAAGATTATTCCAAAGGAAGGCATATTTCGTCGGTTCTTTTCTGTAAATGCAATGGCTATTTGGAATAAACTACCAATGAGTGTGAAAACTCTGCAAAATTATCCTTTATTTAAGAGAACTATTACTCGATTTTTGCACTCAGAAAAGATCCCACAAATTTTGGGTGCTGAATCCACTGATCGACTCTACCGTAGCGATGGCGTTTTTGGTCTCTAAACACTATGGCCGGTCTCACCAGCTGTTCCTCAACGCCTCTACTTTGGCTATCCCCAACTTCATGAAAGGACTTTGACGACCGATAATCTCCGATACCGTGCAACCTCCCCCCTTTTTGACAGTCGATATTCTACCACAGCCGGCAGGTTTTTCTTCTGAGCCCTCCAAACCACAAAAACCACCATCAACTATATTTTTATCCCTTTAGCTCAGGAGTTTTTTTTCACTGCTGGTCGGATTTGTGTTTAATCGCTTCCCTTGACAATGCCTGTAAACTGGCATTAAATAAAAATTTATTTATTTATTCATTCTTCACAGTCGCCATTTTGTGGTCAGCAGTTTTTTCTCCTGGACTCTCCAAACCATAAAAACCACAATCAACTTTATTTTTAACCCTTTTCTGCAGAAGTCTTTTTTCACTGCTGGCCGGATTTGTGTTTAACGCTTCCCTCAATTTATGTAAACTGGCATTGAATAAAATTATTATTATTATTATTATTATTATTGACCGGAGCAGTTCTTGAAAATATAGCTTACACTCTGTGGGATGTGATTGTTGTGATTCGGCGTCTTCGTCAATCTCATAGCCCTGGACCTGACGGTGTCCAATTAAACATTCTAAAAGCGGATAAAAATGCAATTTTCACATCCCTTTTATGCGAGATATTTAATGTCGCTCTTGGAAGTGAAACCTATCCTACCTTGGGGAAGAAATCACCCATTTTGCCCATTACCAAGTATGGCCAATCTATGTCATTTGATGACTTTCGGCCAATAAACACCCTCCCCGCAGTTTTGAAGATCTTAGAGATACTGATCAAAGAGGAACTGGATTAAACTACCCAGAAATATGAAAACTCTGCAAAATTATCCTCTAATTAAGAGAACTATTACTCGATTTTTGCATTCAGAAAAACTCCGATAAATTTTGGTTGCTTAATCCACTGATCGACTATACCGTAACGACGACATTTGTGGTCTTTGATCTCAATGGCCGGTCGCACTAGGGATAATTTCGTTAGCCAACAGTAACAGCTGTTCTTCGGCGCTTCTGATTGAACCAGCCCCAACTTCGTGATAGGAATTGGCGACTGATATTATCAAATGCAGCGCTACCTCTCCCTTTATTGGCTGTCGGCATTTCATGGTCAGCGGATTTTTTCTCCTGAACCCTCCAAACTATAAAAAATCACCATATACTTTATTTTTATCTCCTTTTTGACAGGATTTTTTTCACCGAAGGCCGGATTTGTGTTTAATGCTTCCCTGACAATGTCTGTATACTGGCATCAAATATAATAGTTATTGTAAATTCAGAACTTTAACGACGATTCCGGAATAATAAAGTTCCAAGAGAAGAATAGAGTGGTCCACACGATCAAAGGCCTAAGTGAAATCGAAGTGGACCGTGTAAAGTGCAAAACCATTGTCCCTTGATTAAAGAACAAGGTCAAAGAAGAGAGCTGACAGGTTTTTCATGACCGAGCTTTAAGGAATCCATACTGAGAAGCACTCAGTAGGTTATTCTCTGTAAAGTGACAAATCATCTTATTTTCCATCAATGTCTCTAAGATTTTCGTAACATCCTGGCAGGCGTTTATGGTCGAAAGTCGTCAAATGACGTAGAGTGACCGTGTTTGGGGATAGGAAAAATGCGTGATTACTTCCACACAGTAGAATAGGTTTCACTTTTGGGACAATGATTAGATCTCTTGCACAGGAGGGACACCATAAGGTCCCTGGACTATAGGATCGACGAAAACGTCGAATCGCTACAGTCACGTCCCGCAAAGCGAAAGTTACAGTTTCGAGAACTGATTCGATCCAAGCCTGGATGGTCGGAAGAGGAACGGTCGAGTTTTCGATAAAAGTTTTGGCC